AAAGCAGAATCAATCATTCCATGAATTAGTTCAAGGAATAAAGGTAAAGTAATTTTGCCCCTGATCATTTCTTCAACACAAACCACTGCTTTGCTCAACCTGAGCGTTTTCTCATGCGTCTTTGGTGGCCAAATTTTCAATTTCAACTAACAGCCTGTATCTCTCAATTCTGGTCACAAAATATTACAACATAAATATTATAGTCTCCTGAGTAAATCAACAACAATTGTTTGATTCCTTTCTTTACTTGTTGTTTCCTATATTATATTAAAAATCCTCAAATCATGTGCATGTACATTATGTGCTGTTATGTTAAAAGGAGAATATAAAAGTTCCAACATTAGTGTTCAAAAACCTTAATAAATCAAATAAATTTGTCTCATGTAAACCGCGTTTATATCACAGACTTTGATAATCAGGCGAGCCCCCCCCCCCTCCACCACCAAAGTATCTTCAGATCAGATGAAGGGAATACATTGGAGAAAAACCATATGAGTCTATTTCTTTTAATGTCTTATTTATGACAAAATTGCCAGATTTTTAGTTTACTTACTGAGGTTTTTTTTAACCTATAAATGATTTTTAGTTAGTGTTGTATTCATTTTCCCTGTTTTTTAAGTGTGCTAAATCATTGATTCTCTATGCAGTACTGAGGCACTCCAACCTGCCACTACAGGGGAGACACCAATGGAGGTGAGCACGTGTTACTCAGTATACTGCAGCCTCGGGAAGGTTAAGGCTGTGACCTCTAGGGCTGGTTAAAATTATCCTTTCATCAATTATTATTTTTTTCCAATTCAATATCAATTCAGGAAAAACCTGAGGTTGATTATTTCTGTTGTAATGACGCCCCCTCTCCACTGTACTTGAATGTTTTATTTTTTGTTCATGAAAGAATAATGCAACGATAGAATACATTTTGAGTCTTTTTGTTCTAAATCAATTCAAATAATGCAAACATTATTATTTAACAAATATCAGAAGGTACTGCGTTGAGTTATCTGGGTATTTTCTGTCATCTGTAACTATTATTAAATCGATATCAAAGCATATTGATCAATATCGAATTGATATATGTATATCTAATGAACAGCAAAGTCACCAAGCAAGAACACGTCAAGAGTTTTGTATTAAAATATGGCGAGCTGTTATACATTGTATTTAATTTTTGCTTGTTTTTAATGATTTCTCAGATTAACATCAAGTGTTCATGAAGGAATGAGGAGAGACCCCTTGAGATTGTCATTTCAGGGTTAGGGTTTTCTGCCAGCTAGTTAAAAGAGCAAAATCAAAATGTCATTAGCACAAAGTCTTGAGCAATCTAATTTATTTTAAATCATTGTTATGTAACATTCATTTTGTATTTTTTTGTCTCTTGCAGGTCCAGGATGCTCAGGCCACATCTGATGATGGAGAGATGGAGGTGGATCCATCAAGGTAAAACAAGATCAAATCTCTATGGTCAGAAACTTTTGTAAGTGTCTTCTGAAAATATCTATAGGGCCCTTAGGAGGTGCCACGAGGTACCAATCTGATGAACCAATCACGCCTCCCTGTGTTCCTGCTCCTTCTAGACCCCATGCATGCACGAGCCCACACTCAAAGCATGAGCTGACGTCCGCTTCTGGACCAATGGCGCTTGTGCATGTCAGTGAGGGGCTCCCCTCTGTGTTCCCTCAAAAGCCACGCCCCTCACTTACATGCACAAGGGCCATTGCTCCAGAAGCGGACCTCAGCTCATGCTTTGAGTGTGGGCTCGCATGCATAGGGTGGAGAGCGAGCAGGTAGACAGGGAGGTGTGATTGGTTAATCAGATTTGTACCTTGTGGCAGACATTGGTCAAAGTTTTTACAAGCTTACAACTGCTACAGACGACGGATTTTCTTTGTTCCTTTTTCAGAGCACATGAGTTTTTATTTTCTGTCAGGACTTAAAGACAATTTCAACCAAAATGTTAAAAAGTTATCTAGAGAAAATTACCAACCCTGCCTTTAATCAATTTACTTACTGAGGTTTTTTTTTAACCTATAAATGATTTTTAGTTAGTGTTGTATACATTTTCCCTGTTTTTTAAGTGTGCTAAATCATTGATTTTCTATGCAGTGCTGAGGCACCCCAACCTGCCACTACAGGGGAGACACAAATAGAGGTGAGCACGTGTTACTCAGTATACCGCAACACCAGGAAGGTTAAGGCTGTGACCTCTAGGGCTGGTTAAAATTATCCATTCATCAATTATTATTTTTTTCCAATTCAATATCAATTCAGGAAAAACCTGAGATTGATTATTTCTGTTGTAATGACGCCCCTCTCCCCTAAGGGCACTGGGGGTGCTGCCATACTTCTGCATACTGTACTTGAATGTTTTATTTTTTGTTCATGAAAAATAATGCAACGATAGAATACATTTTGAGTCTTTTTGTTCTAAATCAATTCAAATAATGCAAACATTATTTGTTCTAAATCAATTCAAATAATGCAACATTATTATTTAACAAATATCAGAAGGTACTGTGTGAGTTATCTGGGTATTTTCTGTCACCTGTAACTATTATTAAATCGATATCAAAGCATATTGATCAATATCGAATTGATATATGTATATCTAATGAACAGCAAAGTCACCAAGCAAGAACACGTCAAGAGTTTTGGATTAAAATATGGCGAGCTGTTATACATTGTATTTAATTTTTGCTTGTTTTTAATGATTTCTCAGATTAACATCAAGTGTTCATGGAGGAATGAGGAGAGACCCCTTGAGATTGTCATTTCAGGGTTAGGGTTTTCTGCCAGCTAGTTAAAAGAGCAAAATCAAAATGTCATTAGCACAAAGTCTTGAGCAATCTAATTTATTTTAAATCATTGTTATGTAACATTCATTTTGTATTTTTTTGTCTCTTGCAGGTCCAGGATGCTCAGGCCACATCTGATGATGGAGAGATGGAGGTGGATCCATCAAGGTAAAACAAGATCAAATCTCTATGGTCAGAAACTTTTGTAAGTGTCTTCTGAAAATATCTATAGGGCCCTTAGGAGGTGCCACGAGGTACCAATCTGATGAACCAATCACGCCTCCCTGTGTTCCTGCTCCTTCTAGACCCCATGCATGCACGAGCCCACACTCAAAGCATGAGCTGACGTCCGCTTCTGGACCAATGGCGCTTGTGCATGTCAGTGAGGGGCTCCCCTCTGTGTTCCCTCAAAAGCCACGCCCCTCACTTACATGCACAAGGGCCATTGCTCCAGAAGCGGACCTCAGCTCATGCTTTGAGTGTGGGCTCGCATGCATAGGGTGGAGAGCGAGCAGGTAGACAGGGAGGCGTGATTGGTTAATCAGATTTGTACCTTGTGGCAGACATTGGTCAAAGTTTTTACAAGCTTACAACTGCTACAGACGACGGATTTTCTTTGTTCCTTTTTCAGAGCACCTGAGTTTTTATTTTCTGTCAGGACTTAAAGACAATTTCAACCAAAATGTTAAAAAGTGTATCTAGAGAAAATTACCAACCCTGCCTTTAATCAATTTACTTACTGAGGTTTTTTTTTAACCTATAAATGATTTTTAGTTAGTGTTGTATACATTTTCCCTGTTTTTTAAGTGTGCTAAATCATTGATTTTCTATGCAGTGCTGAGGCACCCCAACCTGCCACTACAGGGGAGACACAAATAGAGGTGAGCACGTGTTACTCAGTATACCGCAACACCAGGAAGGTTAAGGCTGTGACCTCTAGGGCTGGTTAAAATTATCCATTCATCAATTATTATTTTTTTCCAATTCAATATCAATTCAGGAAAAACCTGAGATTGATTATTTCTGTTGTAATGACGCCCCTCTCCCCTAAGGGCACTGGGGGTGCTGCCATACTTCTGCATACTGTACTTGAATGTTTTATTTTTTGTTCATGAAAGAATAATGCAACGATAGAATACATTTTGAGTCTTTTTGTTCTAAATCAATTCAAATAATGCAAACATTATTATTTAACAAATATCAGAAGGTACTGCGTTGAGTTATCTGGGTATTTTCTGTCACCTGTAACTATTATTAAATCGATATCAAAGCATATTGATCAATATCGAATTGATATATGTATATCTAATGAACAGCAAAGTCACCAAGCAAGAACACGTCAAGAGTTTTGTATTAAAATATGGCGAGCTGTTATACATTGTATTTAATTTTTGCTTGTTTTTAATGATTTCTCAGATTAACATCAAGTGTTCATGGAGGAATGAGGAGAGACCCCTTGAGATTGTCATTTCAGGGTTAGGGTTTTCTGCCAGCTAGTTAAAAGAGCAAAATCAAAATGTCATTAGCACAAAGTCTTGAGCAATCTAATTTATTCTAAATCATTGTTATGTAACATTCATTTTGTATTTTTTTGTCTCTTGCAGGTCCAGGATGCTCAGGCCACATCTGATGATGGAGAGATGGAGGTGGATCCATCAAGGTAAAACAAGATCAAATCTCTATGGTCAGAAATTTGTGAAAAAAGTGTCAGAAAGTGTCTTCTGAAAATATCTATAGGGCCCTTAGGAGGGCCTATAAATGATTTTTAGTTAGTGTTGTATTCATTTTCCCTGTTTGCTAAATCATTGATTCTCTATGCAGTGCTGAGGCACCCCAACCTGCCACTACAGGGGAGACCCCAATGGAGGTGGTAGGTAGTGTGAGATTGCATTGCCTCACACTTGTAATGGGCTTTGAAACCTAAATCTAGATTTGGTACAAAATATTTCATTGATACATCTACAGTTCTTCCAGGACAATGTGCCTGTGACTTTAAAAGGCTGCTAATAAATGCTTTGTCCATATTCGGGATATTCAAGTGTAGTTTCAGTCTAAATTAGATGGTTCACGGTGCTTTTCTGAGTGATTTATTTCAGCTGTTGTTTACTATTTACCATGTTTAAATCTTTTTGTTTCAGGATGATGAGGTTCGTCAAAGTCCAGGCAAGAGGAACATCAAATAAAACTTCTGGTTGAAGACAGAGACAATGTTGTTGTGGTTTTTTACTAAGAGCAAACATACACAATTCTACAAGTCATTTATGTTCAATGAGAAATTATTAAACACAACTGTATATAAAACAATGGTTATCAACCTTTTAGACTTTTAAAATCTAAGTTATGGGTAAGGAGAAAGGAGAACAGTTCTCTTGTAAGGAGAATTTTCCACACACAGTGATTAACTAAAAGGCCGTAAGACTTCAGGAAATCACACTGTAAAACTGAAATTCTTGGGGCGCTGTTGGCAGAGTGGTTAGGGGACGCACCCCATGTGCATAGGCTGTAGTCCAATGCAGATGGGGCCAGGGGTTCTCAAACTTTTTTAGACCATGGACCCCTTTCAGGTGAGAAATTATTCCAAGGACCCATTTTCGTAACGTTGATAAGCATATATTAATACTATGTAATAATGTACTATGTAGTACTTTGCAACGATAGAATTAGGCTACATTTATACTTTCCAAGTCATTCATCTTATAAACTTTGGGAAAATGTTGGCCATGTTTTTTTATCGTTGTGCACTGTGAAGTGACAGACATGTCACGATAATATCAGAATTTATCTAATGGCACAAAACTAAAGTGGGCGGGTGTATTGGACAAAATAGCAGATTTTATGGGTCCAAGAGGTCCAACTTTGTAGATATCCTTTTTCAATGATATAGCACACTTTTACAATTGTTTGTAAATTATTACACGGACCCCAAGCTATGGTTCGGGGACCCCACTTTGAGAATCACTGCTCTAGGCGGGCGACCCGGGTTCTGATCTGACCTGTGGCTCCTTTCCCGCATGTCGTTCTCAACTCTCTCGGTCCCTGGTTTGTGGCTCTGTCCACTGTCCTGTCCCTCCAATAAAGGCACAAAGCCTGAAAAAAAATCTTTTAACAAAAAAACTGAAACTGTACTCAAAACAAAAAAAACACAATTTCCTGCAAAATGTGTGGCAATTCTTCTAAGTGAGGTGTTTATTTAAAACTATTGATTAGTGGATCTTTCAGTATCCACATTTTATATTAAGACTATTTCAAATTATCATTCTCCACTTTAGCCCTTTGGTGTATTTGACATGTTAGAGGTTGCCACGTGAATACAGAGCTCTCATACTGCAAATATTCTTTTTAAATGTGACCTGCAGCACCAAACTGCAGAGTCACCCTAATGAAACAACGCTCCACGACCTACATTCATGAGCCCCACTGTAGAGATATTTACTGATGTTTCTTTATTGTATGTGGAGGCCTGTGAGAGAAAACAGAGACAGTTTAAAGACAGGCACAACATTGCTTTATTGTAGTATAATAGTGGTCATTCATTATTAAACACATGCAACTCTTACAAAAGTCATAAACCAACTGTGTACATGTACAAAGACTTTTTTTTTTCTCCGAGAACAGATGATAGAAAATAGGCTTGATGTGTTTATATAAAACATCTCCAAACGTCCATTACAATTCAGGCCTTTAAAAGGTTCATAAACCCTACCTTCATTCAAACACCTGTGATTCTTATTTCACGTACATCGGTCAAGTATAAGGCAGCAGCAGTCTGTACAAAGAGCAATGGATTCAAACATCTACACATTCCTTTTTTTTGTGTTTCCCTCATTTCTGATATCCGAGGTCTCTCTTCACAAGGAGCCTTCCCTTTAAAAAAATAAATAAATACACTTTGTGCTTTTGGTCCAGAACCACTGTAAGAGTCTGACCATTGAGCCTGAGCCTGAGCAGGGGGGGGGGGAGTAGGGGGGTGGAGGGGTCAGACCATGTCGGTGTGTCCGAACATGTGCTGGTCGCGGCCAGGAGGGAACTGCTGCGTCCAGTCGATGATGGCCGGTTTGAAGAGGCCGCAACAACGCAGGTGGAAGAAGGAGACCAAGTTCTTCACCACACCCAAACTGCAGAGAAACGACAACGGACCAATCAGAATCTGTCCTTCTGACTTTGTGGTGTCATTGTTTGTAAGCTAATGTTTTTCCAATGCCACTAATATTAACCCCCTCTTGAAGGACAAATAAAGCATTTCCAATTGAATTGAATTATTTTGTATTGAGAGTATAAAGAGACTGATACATAGAATTGCCATCAGCACATGCTGTCAACCTGTCCAACTGACTATTGTACGCAGATTATGATTGACCTCGCATTGATTTAAGTTCTGTTTTTTTTTTTTTTTTGCAAAGAGATTGCATCAGTAATAAATCAGTAGCTAATCTGCAATAAGATGTTAATGACAGCACCAGACCTCGACTGAAAAGCATTAAGTTCCCTCTGCATCATTAACTAAAGGCGTTAATCCTCCTTTGCTTAAAATGATACTGGTAGAAAAAGAATAATTTAACTAAGCTTCAACTTGGATTCCAGAGAAAACAAAAACAATCTGAAGCAGTGCAAAAAAATAAATAAATGAAAAATGAAAAAAACTAAACTAATATGAACTCACTTGTAAGGGTTTTGTTTGAGGGAAACAGATTTCCCGAGCTTCATCTGGTGGAGTGTCAGGTTGGTTCGCTCTGCTGTGGTCAGTCCCAGGAAGGCAATCTGCTCAGGCACAAAGGAGAAACATCAGTCCCCACGGGAACAGAAAGATACTCTCCAGGTGTAGAAACACAGCAGGGGGGTTGCCGCCCTTAGAGGGTAATTATGGTACTTTCATTATGGTCGTTTTTTTTTTTTAAACTTCGGCTTTATTTTCTGTATATTTTAGAGTCTAAATGACTAAAAGGAAAAGACAGTTTTTGATTTTGTTCAGCTGCTCACCTCAGTTATTTTTAATCAATGAAAAAGGTTTTGATCACAGAAAATTATTAAGTGTACCTGGATTATCTGTTGTGTCTATTAGTCATTTAGGCCCCACAATGTGTAGGTTTTAATAGAGCCAGGTTGAAAAAAGACCGGAATTACACTTTAATTTGGCTTGTTTACAGTATCTTTAAAAGCTCTAAAGAGTCAGAAAAAACAGGCTCCATTGACCTGGTAGAGCTGCAGCACCAGGACCGAGCTAGACCAGCAGGTGTGATAGAAGGCCAGCAGGAAGATGCTGAGCACCCAGGAGAGCAGGTGACCAGGGCAGAGACCACCCCCCACAGACCCTGATCCTCGTAATGCAGCGTGCAGTGGGTCGACCAGTCTGTAAGAACACACAGCACAGTCACATGTGTATCCAGGTGAGATTTAAAACTTAATACTGTCATGACTTTGTTTCATTTTCCTGTAACTCACAGATGAGACAACCGTAGAACATCCAGGCTCCCATCAGCATGAGAGAGAACAGAAAGAGGATGAAGTAGTGATGGTTCCTCGCACCTGGAAGAGAACAAATTATTCTGATCAGAGATGTTTTTTAAATAACTTTAAAGGCTCCAAAGTGTGCACTCCTATTGTAACACAATGCTAACTATTGTCTTAATTTATATCCCCACAAAGAAATCAAAATGCACATCCACAGATTTATATAAAATCAAAGTTTATGGTCAATGGACTTGAGCTTGTATGCTTTTCTAGTCTTCTGACTACTCAAAGCTCTTTTACACGCTCTTTTTGCCTAGGACACATCAGACATGCTGCTGCAGGAACTGGGGATTGTACCCTCGACCTTCCCGTTGAGAGACAACCGACTTTACCACTGAACCACAGCGGCCTAATTAATGCTTTAATCACTACAGTTATGATGGTTACCGTGCTCTAACAGGGATTTTATACTATATTATATTATCAATCTCTTAGAAATATAACCTTTTCTGATTGGCAGATTTACATCTGATTCGATTTTGACAAAGTCTGGTGAAACATTATTTTGACATGAAACGGACATTTTCAGATCCTTACTGAAAATAATCTAACTTTTACAGTATCCAGCCAACGCCTGGCCCATTCTGCAGTTTTAACATTTTCAGTTATAGTGTGAACGTGAGGATAATGTTCGCTGTCATGTTATTCTCTCTTCAGGCAGCTGCTGCGATCACTCGTTACTGGCTACAATGGTTCTCACCGATGCAGCAGTTGGTCCAGACTGAGTGGTGGTCCTGCTTGGCAACACAGGCGTCACAAGAAAAGCAGTGGTTGGTTCTCATTGGTTTCTTTGTCTATGAAGCAGGTAAAATAAAACAGTACAGTTAATCACTGTGTGTGTTGAAGGGACAGTGTTTCAAGAAGTTTTTTTTTTTTTCATTTCTGTTTTCAAGCCTCACCATGCAAGAAGTGCAGAATATTCTGGGCCCCAGACATCCGGCTTCAGCCAACACCAACACGTTCTGACAACACAGGACGACAACAACAGTCAGCTCGTTTGTGCAGAAAAACATGACCTGTAAGATCATATTATTATTCAGTGTATATTTAATAGCCGTCTCACGATTTTCTTCTCTTCCTCGGTCGCCTTCACAAAGCCGGGGTCAGTCCTGCAGGTTCGGAGGTAGTAGTAGAGCAGAGCAGTGGCATTCAGAGTGAACAAGACCTGAACAGTGGCGCTGGGCCCATGTGGGGTCAACGGTTAAGGAGAACATTTCTTTAAAAAAAAAAAAAAAAAGCTTTAAAAAAAAAAAAACTTCAGGGTAACAATCTGCCACATAAACTAACGAGCAGTCCCATCTCTGTTAACGATGATACAAGTTTTGGGAATGGCAGCATTTCTTTCACGAAGATGAGGGACCAACTTGCTTTGTCATCAAAACTCGGTAAAATCATTTACATAAAGCAAGCTAGCCAGACAGTTGATTTTTAGTCATGTTTGGGGCTTTTTTGCCTGTATTGGATGGGGCAGCTGTAGAGAGACAGGACATGTAGGCAGGAGAGAGTGAGGGATGACGTGCAGCAAAGGGCCCGATGTCAAATTCGGCACTCTGCCTTAACACTTTTTAAAATGTGTTACTTCAAGCAACCAGTTTAGTACGGTAGCTGCACGGCCCACTGATATGTTTTTTCTTCTGGTAATGTGGCCTCAGTCACTCCTTCATACATTATTTTCTTCCTCTGAAGAAACATCCTTTATAAAACCTTTGTACAGGGGTGCCGGTAGCCTAATCATTATTGAGCATCTGTGATGTAGTGGTGCCTGAAGAAGTGGGTATACTCTTCATTTTTCCCCAAAATGTTTTTTCTTAAGAGTCCTCTGTTATTAACAGTGACAACAAAGACTCCTTTTACACATTTAGTCAGTGCGTACTCGCCAATGAGAGACAGAGTAGTGAGGGTCATCCCTTCACCATCCTAGGAAAAGAAAATTGCAGCATACTACTGATTTTTGTTAATCAATCAATGGTGTGAATCAGAAGGGATTTAGAAGTGGGTATACCTGCGTATACCCTGCACTACAACACAGGTGAGCGTGCCCCATGTACAGAGGCTATAGTCCTGGAGAGGGGGCAGCCTGGGTTTGGATCCCACCTGTGGTGCCTTTCCTGCATGTCATTCCCCCACTCTCTCTCTCTCCCCAGTTTCTGACTCTATCCGCTGTCCTATCTCTGAAATAAAGACAAAAAAGCCCCAAAATAAACCTTAAAAAAAAAAACTTTGTACAGAACATCACAAACTTCTCTTGTCATGTAACTGACTGAGCGTGTCTTTTTCCTCCGAAGAAAGGATATCTGGGAGGAACCAGAGGCACCAGGTAACAATCATCCAGAAGAATGAGGCCATGAGAATTGAAGCAGGTAGCAGAGACTGAAAGTCCAGACTGGGGAAGTTCCTGTTTAAACACAAATGCTTCTTTTTTTAAGGGCAACATGAATATGGAGAACACAAGCATCCGAATGAAACCTGTGGTTTTTATTTTTAATTCTCTCGACATTTACATTCAACATCGAAGAGTTCAGTAGAAAGCTCAGTCCTCACCTTAAGGCCAGATTGATCAGACCTATCACACAGGCCAGCAGGATCCCTTTGAGCAGCCAGGACTCAGAGTTCATATCTATGATGGCGCCCACACTTCCAAAGAAGGCAGTGCAGAGCAGAAACTGTAGAAAAACCTGGGAAACACAAAACAGGGTGGGGTTTGTAGAAACTGGAGATTATTTGAATGTTGTCATTAGACATGGTGTGTGTGTGGCTTTTAGTTTAGTTTGTACCCTGTATCTGTTGAGGAGTCGTAGGCAGCGTGTATTAGAGCGAATCCTCTCCTGTTTGACGTGATTCAGCATGTGGATGAGCAGCGGGCTGTGCACCTGGTGGGCCACGTCGATGGGAGTGTGACCCTGAAAACAAACAAGCATTAAACACAACTTAAAGACACGGATCAAATCCCAAAATGTAGGGTAACAATAAGCATTTATTTTACCAACTTGAAGCAACAATTCTCAATATAATATGGGTTTGCAGTTTTTTTATGGTTTTGTGTATGAGCTTGAATTGGCTCTGTTTGTGTGTGTGCCTGTGAGTCCATGCGCTGGGATTAGGAAACACTCCACCAAGTTAATATCCAATCACTATGTGCTAAAGTTGGGGAAGTTAACAACACTACACTCATGACGAGCAGTGAGGAGAGGCAGCATTATGTGCATCCCTAGACTGGTGGCATGTGTTTCTAACAGAGCGACAGTAGACTGGTGTCAACACTTGGAATGTTTATTCATTTTGGACTTTTGTGAAGCTTACGTTTATGTTTTCTGCGTCCACACTGGCCCCGGCCTCCAGCAGGATGTGGGCAGCGTCTACGTTTCCTGCCAGCACGGCGCAGTGCAGAGGAGTGTTCCTGTTCACTTTGTCCACAGCGCTCACAGAGGCGTTATTTTTGATTAGGAAGTTTGTAGGTTCAGGCCTGAGACAGAAGAACAAACGGGTGTTGTAAGATCCTTCACAGACTGACACATCAGACTGATACATCACAACGTTCCAATCCAATCATGGGGAGTATTTTGTGATACCCGAGCTGTTTAAATCAGTAAAGGAGTAAAGGTACTTACCCAATTATCTTCAGGGCGGCTAACATAAGTGGCGTCTGTCCGTTGCAGTCAGGACCGTCAACTTCCTGCAAGAGAAAAGTAAAATGAGAAGATTAGCACTATGGAAAAGAAAATGCACAAAGTGAAAAAAACACTTAAAGAAATGCAAAAATGAATGTTTGCCAACACAAATGATGGAGTGAGTGTGAAGTCTGACCTGTCCCTTTGCCATGAGATAAGCTGCTATGGCCATGTGCTGGAAGAGGATGGCGAGGTGGAGAGCGCGGTAACCTTCTCCGTCTGCGATGGAGGGATCTGCTCCGTATCTCATCAGCTGGATCACCATGGGGAGGTGGCCCTGCCTCATCATTGACGAAAATCCACAGACAGCTTAATGGAGGATGCACTGAGCGAGCGAAATGTCTAAACAAGTCAACATTCACCCTTCAGAGAGCGATTACAAAATGTGACTCTGGTAATAATGTGACTAGTGTTTGATACAAATCACTGTGGTTAAGTGGTAATCAGCAGGTTTAGTTAAAGGCCCAATACGTAAGATATTTACTGAATTAAATCACTAAATGACCTTAACGTATCGTAAGACATTAAGGAAACATGCTATGTTGAAGTGCTGGCTTCTCTGAAAACAATGCAGCAGCCAGTATGTCCTCCTAACTTTACTTCACGGCCGTTTTGGATTCCCCTCGGTTTTCCAGATATGAGAGCAGTTATCATGTCAAACCAACAGGTGTTGCAGCGATGGAAGCGGGCAAGAGAACTGGTTCAGATAGAAGTGATTGTATCCGACCTAAAAAGCCTCTGCATGTTTCTAATAAGCTCCACGAGCAGAAACGTGCTCAAACTAGGATCAATATTGGAGATGCTTTTGAAAAAACGAGAGCGGTTAGAACGCAGAAAGGTTTACAGACCGATGCAGAGCTGGATAAACACTGAAGTGTGTCCTGACGTGAGCATCGACTCTAGAGAGGAGGGGGCGGGGGGAGACAGCACTCTCCAGTGTTTTGAATCTGCACTGCAGTACCCTTTTTAAACACTAGGTGTCAGAGTTACTTTTACAAAGCTGAGAAGCAAAATGAATCACACAATAACTTCTATACTTCTTTATGCAGCTTAGAAAAACTACAAATGATGGTGATTTCTTTTGGTTACACATTTTTTCGGTAACACGTAAACAACTGAACAGTGAATCAAATGTACAATACAGAGGCAGAGGCAGACGTAGACTAACAAACACCTTTACTGAAATTCAGTCACCTTATCGCCCAGTGAAGAGGAGAAGAGTTCAGGTCTCCTCCGAGCTGGTCCACTATGGCCCCTTTAGAGATATAATACCTGTCGGAGAACACCAGAGGAGAGACAGAGCAAGAGATCAATGATTACTGTTCAGAACATTTCATGTTGGATCACTTTGCATTTATGTTCAGTTTTTCAGAGTTTCTTTGAAGGTTTTCCCCTGAATCTGTCTGTTGTTGTGCTTCATCCAGCTCACTCTTCTCCCAATGACAGATGTCACAACACACGAAGTCTCAGAGGAAGGACTGACAATACATATGCTGTTTTCATTTTCAATATATTGCTCATCCAATGTTTGTTCCTTATGAAGTGAAAACAGCCACTATGCTGCTCACAGTATTTGATACAATGTCCCTCCACAAATTCTGTCACTTTCAACTGTCTCTAAATATGAGTGAAGCTTCATGGGTCACTATGCTGCAGAGCACCACAAGTCTTTTGAATTTACATCCAAAAGAGGAATTAGAGCTTTCATTAAAAGGTCACATATTATGTAAATAAACTTAATGTTTGTCTCTAGTCCGTCTACAAACCCCCCAATCATGAGTAAAGTCCATCCTCTCTGTCTTCTGCCTGCTCCACTTTTCAGATAATGTGTGCTCAAACAGGCCGTTTGGAGATTTTCCCTTCATGACATCATAAAGGGCAGTAACCTAAAGTGCTTTGGGTCTTTGTAATATAACAATGAGTATGGTCTTTTTTACTTGCTTTTTGTAATATTAAATAACAAAGAGTAACGTCTTTTATCTGCTTTTTGTAAAGTGTCTCGATAACACTTGTTATGAGTTGGCGCTTTACAAATAAAGATTGACTGATTGATTGACTGACTGATTGATTACCCCGCCCCCAGGTGGGTGACACTCTCACAGCTAGGTGTTTGTTCTGCCCTCTGAGTCTGCCTTCTCACCGTTCATTATAAGGCATGGTGCAAGAAAGCCCGAGCAACATCCCCGAAGTTTAAAGACAGACAAAAGAATCAACAAATCCTTCAAATATTTGTAAATAATTCCTCAAATTACCGACATACTAAACACGGGACTGCTACTCAGACATGTGTACACTGCTGAGTTCCCTGCAGAGGAATGTGTGTGTTTACATAGAGATTCCTCTGTGGTGAGTCAGAGTGAAGGAGATAAAGATGATATTTGCAGGTCTTACTTGACCAGCTCTGAGCGGTTGTTGATGGCTGCCCAGTGCAGCAGAGTGACGTTCTCTTTGTCTGGCTGTCTGACGTCATAACCGGCTTCAACCAGCTCCTTACAGCGCTCCAGGATACCAAACCTGAAAGGGTCACACACACACACAGAGAGAGCAAACCTTTATAAACACACAATTTATGATGAAAACAAGCAGACCAATGCTCTTCATGACACAGTGATCCAAATAATGAAATCTCAGTTTCTGGACTCAAAGGGACAAAACCACTGCAAAGCAAGGAAGAAGTAATAACACAATTTACAGAAAAAAATCAAGATAATTCAATTGAAAAGTCTAACACTGTGTCAGTATGAAAAGACATCAACAGACGGTGAGGTGAGGAAACAGAGAGGAGTGGTTCTGCAGATTCTTTACTTCTTCTCTCCGTCTTACGAGAAAAGTGACCTTTGCTCTACTGTGCCTAAACTCCCTGATTAGGTAGTCAAACAAAAAAAAAAAAAACATTCCTGTGAGCTTAAAATGACCGAGAAATAGACTCAGCTAAAGTGGAATTACCAGTTTCTGCAGCAGCTATGTTTAACAGATTTGATCTATTTTCTATCTATTGATCTATTTTCTAGCTCCTGTGTCAATACATGAAACACCAGTGTTTCCCCTACCATTATATTGGGGGGATGGAAAATTATATATATATATTTTTTTTAAAAGATTTATTTTGGGGCTTTTTGGGCTTTTTGTGCCTTTATTGTAGGGATAGGATAGTGGATAGAGTCGGAAATCAGGAAAAGAAGTCATTTAAGGATATCTTTCCGATAGAAAAGGACAGCTGTCATTAAAAGTAACACATGAACACCAAGATTCCTTCAAGTGTTTGTGTCGTCGTGTCGCCGTGTCAGCATGTTGGCTTGTCCCCAACCCCCCAACGCTGTAAACCTATGGGAAACACTGAACACCTATATCGTTATAATGCAAGGAGCGAGTTGTAAAATAAGGCGTGTGTGCTCTGTAGGTTAAATGTCATTTTTAGTTTAGTTTATTTGTTTATTTGAATCAGGGACAGTGTAGAAGAGAAGAGACGCTCTGTACCAGATGTAGCTAACTAGCTCATTTCTATCTGTTGTTCCTGGACAGATGATGGCAAGAGTAAAATAAAAATCAACCAGTCATGCACGCCACACAATAGCTATAAAGTCTGTGCAGCTCATCAGCTTCATGCTCTGTATTGAAACTATGCTAAATTGCATGAATAAATTCAGTTCAATACTGAGACTGTCTGCTGTAAACATCCATCACAGTTTACACACAGGTTCAACTTGACCTTGTATTCTTGCTGTGGTAACAAAAATACAACAGAGGGATCAATATGACACAAACACACATTTAACTTCCAAAAAAAAAAAGAGTTCACCTAATCCGACTTGACCCTTTAATAGGCTGTTGTATTATCTGACTGCTTGGGGTTTTTTTTTGTTCTGTTGTAAATCTTTAACGAATTGCCTCTGTGTTCCCACATGAACAAAGTGAAACCCCAGTGGTGGTTAACAGGAAACATGATGATTTCCTGCTCGTTCATCAACTGTGGCATCACATGAAATGGAACCAAACACGCTCACGTAAACCACCTCATAAAGCGTTCACTCACTGCGATGCCTTCACGATGTCCCATGTGCTGCTGTCGTCCATGTGGGAGCGTTTCTTCGGCTGCTGGCTGAGGTTCATCGTCTGCTCTGAGCTTTTGCCGAACTGTCCGTGAAAGCCCGTCATGAAGGGGTGCGCGGCTCTCGGCCCGTGACTGTGAGAATGACCTCCATGTCCGTGCTGACAGCCGTCATGCATGTGGCCGTGGCCCTGCAAAACCAAACACAAAGAAAAGACACAGTTTTGATTCAACATGAGAGGCTTATGTTCAGAGAGCAGCAGTGGCAATACTGATTTATGTCACACAATCACACTCCAGGGGATTCAAAGGGATGGAAGCTGATTTAATGTTTGCGAGAATGAGGAATTTTCTTTGGGGGAGGAGTTTTTATTTCGAGGATGCAGACACCTCAAGGCTCTCCAGGCTTTAGATGCTGAGCATGGACTCACAGCATCAATTTGCATGAAGCACAGCCAGAAACCTCTGCTGCATGTCATCCCCTTCATTTCCTGACAGCACCTTACCGTCTCTTAGCACTGACTTAAATCTCCCCACAATGCATTAACACTTTACATGAGATCGACAGCTTTTTAAGCCCTTAAACTTGAACTTTTCAGTTTAAAGTAAGGTCTCTTACTAGTTGTTTTAACACTCAAACACTACTGGTGCTTGAAAGTTAGAAGTGAAGTCTCAATATTATTAGTAGCAACCAGGAAATGGCTGAAAAAAGACATACGTAATGTAGATGAATGGATATACATATGGTGTATAACATCTTTGTGATGTAAAGAATAACTTTTAATCTAAGAACACAAAAGGACGCATTTGTTGAAAACTGGGGCAAAATGGATTACATGTGTTTCTACCCTCAGATTTCACGTTTTCTTTTTTTTGTCATTATTTGTATAATATTATTTTTCAAAAATTCTCTTTGGCTCCCTTGTCCTGCCAAGTGTTTAAGGTCTTCATGTTCTTGTTACCTCGTGTGAAGTTGCTTCACATTCTATTGTATTTATTTCTGTATTTTGGGTTATATTTTTCAAATAATAAAAGAGAACTTGAAAAAAAATAAAATTTGGATGCCAAACCCAACAAAGAAAAGAAACATCAGGACACTTTCATCAAGTGAAGTTTCATGTTTTGTTTTTCCTCTAGCAGCTGCTGCAGCATCAACAGACTGTTCTGCAGCTCAACAATGGTTTCAATCATTTCCATCTGCTCTCATGTGGAAGACTGAATTATCCATTTAGGACTCTGCAGTGTGCTCTAGGTGACAACCAGGTAAATAATTAACAAGTCACACTGGAGCAAACAACTATAAAACAATGACAATTAATAGGCGAGCTAGTATGAGCTATATTCTGTGAGGTCATTTAATCACCAGGTTAGGAGGACCCTCACTTTGAATCACGGTCAGAAGAAATATTGATGCCTAAATGTTGTGATCAGAAATGAGTTGAGTGACAATAACAATAACTCTGGTTCATCGTCTAAGAGGTGTTTACAGAGAAAGAACAAGATGAAAATATGTTTATTTAAATCACTGCTCTGACATTTGATACCTTTAGTTTTTAGTTGTCACTGTAACTTTGCTAAATGTTTCTTAGTAATGATGGACTAATGTTGGGTCTTTGTAGATAATATTAGAAAGATAAGGTATTTTACCTGCTTTTTGTAACATAAACAAGTTTTTGTGCATGCCATTACAGCACTTTTATGTTTATTACAATTTTGCTGCAAATTCAGCTCAGGCACAAATGTGCACTTTAGATCATACAGTACTTTAATGTTTTGTTATTTGTTTATTGAAGAATAATGCAACGATAAAATAAATTTTTGAGTCAGTTTGTTCTGAAACTATACAAATAATGCACACATAATGATTTAACAAATATCAGAAGGTACTGTGATGACAGCTATTTCTGTCATCTGTATGTATAATTAAATAGATAGATAGATAAATAGATAGATACTTTATTGATCCCGAGGGAAATTTAAAGCATCCAGTAGCAGGTTACAAGACATGACATGAAACATTTGTTACAAATTAAACCGCAAAACCGACGCCCGCCCTCCTCCCCTACATATATACTAACCCGGAAAAAGATGTAAAAAATACCCCTAGATGAAACAAACTTAAACTGTGCAATTAGAAAATAGACTTATACAAGAAATGTACATAACCCGTGCAGGGATAAAAAAAAAAATATCTTTGTAATTTAAAGCAAGAACCTATAAACAAGTTGAGGGGAAAGAAATCTGTAATTAGACCTGAATATAAAAAATATAAAAAAAAGTGTTGACCTTCTGAAGTTGTGTTGTTTATATATATGTACAGCAATGTTTTTTAAAAAAGCAGATAGTGCAAAGTTATCAAAAAACAGACATTAAATGAAATAACAGGCAGTGCAAACATTAAATTAAAGATGCTATTTAAGTAATTGAGGTAAAATGAATAACGAAGCATATTGATCAATATTCAATCAGATTGAATTGTGAGGTTGTGGACAACACCCAGCTCAAGATATCAGACCTGGGTTTGACTCTAGAGATGTGATTTAATGGGTTCATACCCAGCTCTAGATATCACACCTGGGTTTGACTCTAGAGGTGTGATTTAATGGGTTCATACCCAGCTCTAGATATCAGACCTGGGTTTGACTCTAGAGGTGTGATTTAATGGGTTCATACCCAGCTCTAGATATCAGACCTGGGTTTGACTCTAGAGGTGTGATTTAATGGGTTCATACCCAGCTCTAGATATCAGACCTGGGTTTGACTCTAGAGGTGTGATTTAATGGGGTCATACCCAGCTCTAGATATCAGACCTGGGTTTGACTCTAGAGATGTGATTTAATGGGTTCATACCCAGCTCTAGATATCACACCTGGGTTTGACTCTAGAGGTGTGATTTAATGGGTTCATACCCAGCTCTAGATATCAGACCTGGGTTTGACTCTAGAGGTGTGATTTAATGGGTTCATACCCAGCTCTAGATATCAGACCTGGGTTTGACTCTAGAGGTGTGATTTAATGGGTTCATACCCAGCTCTAGATATCAGACCTGGGTTTGACTCTAGAGGTGTGATTTAATGGGTTCATTCACATTTCGGGAGAGTTGCATCATCTGTTGTTCTCCAGCCTCTGGGATGAGTCTCACTGTCAGGCTGAGTGTCATAATGTGAACACGACAGACAGATGACTTTAAATAAACGCATGGTAAAAGATAACCACTGTCTGGATGTGTTGGTATCAACACATGCCTGCTACCTGACAGAAGCAGGAAGCTCTGAGGTATTACACTTTCGTTTTTCAGTAAAAGGCGATTAAAAGACAGTTTCCTGTCAGGTGGACGACAATGAAACAACCCTGACCGTATATACAGGTAACTAGCAGCGTGCTAACAACGCCCCCGCTGAAGCTAACAGACTTACCGACAGGTGATCCGTCTGTGCGGATCAGCGAGGACAGGTAATCACCGCCAACGAGGCTCAAATTACACAGCGAAGCTAGCTGGTGTCATGCTAACACTCTGCTTGCCTTGGACACCGTTGCTATGAGACACTACCATGACAACCGCGGTGTCGTACTTCAAGAAACGGCAACCGGACAAAAACAACGTTGTGATAACTAGAGGCAATTTCGCTTTAAAACCAACTTACCGCTCCGTCGTCCTCGGTCCAGTCCATCTTGTTGTGAAGGAGCGAAGGAGAGAAAGTTCCTTCAAAGGGCTGCAAGAGCCAGAGACCGACGTAGAACTTCCGCAGTTCCCTTTCAAAATAAAAGTCGCGAGGTTACAATGCAGAATAAAAAGCATTTGGTGGTGGGAACAAAACTACACAGAGGCATATTACTTAAGACTTAAAGGCCAATTTAAGTCATTGACTGTAAATATTAATGGACTGAGATAGATAGATAGATAGATAGATGTACTTTATTTGTGAGTGATGTCACCCGTCTGACAGGCTAAGAGCTGGGGCTGAGGCGGGTTTTAAGCTTCTTAAAAAACCCATCGGTCAATCACCGGTCATGTCAGGTTGTAAACATTTTGATTTCAGCTGTAAAAACTGTCTTTTTGAATGGGCGTGTATGTGACTTCTGGTACTTCTGCAGCCAGCCTCAAGGGGGACACTCGATGAACTGCAGGATTTTGCACTTCCACATTGGCTTCATTTTTCAACACCGGAGGTTGCTGCTTGATTTAAACCCATAGAAATGTTGTTATGGCCCTTCGTAGGGCAACAAAAGAGAGCTGGTGGCACTATTTTATACTTCTCTTTGTAGAACATGGTCCATTATCATAGATTGAAAAGTATAATGGACAAGACGCTTACTTTCCATGATGATCAAACCCACAGGAAGTGTGCCGACAGTTGAAGCCAATACACAGATGGGCCCAAAAATACTTAAGCTTACGATGGGAAAGAGACAACTATAAATCAACAAATGCAACTTTTTGGCACCCTTTTTTCTGAATCCAGCTGTGAAGGCAGGATTGATAAATGTGTGATCAAATGTACAAAAAACCTCATTCAACATTTTGATATGTCAAGTAACCAAATTAAAAAGTTTCCTCATAAATAGATACGTTTCAATCATTGGTTATTGATAAATTAATTGTTTGACATGTTGTCAATTATTGGCAACATTTCAGTGCTAGACCCTCATCAGGGAAAGGTCTAGTACCAAAATGTTGCCAATCAATACGGTTTACAAGTTACCCTTTTAACCTGTAACCTTTAAGTTTTTGACAAATTGCTCTCCTACGTACGTGTCTTATGATAAGGATGTGCAAAGGGTTTTTCTAATTTAACATGTTATCCATCACATCTTTGTATGATTTACTTAAAAAAGTTATCTATTGCTGCTTTTGACATTCAAAATGATGAGATCAAAAATGTATTTTATTTTGAAGGTAATAGCTCTAAACCGGAAACTCTTTTTGTTTTCATTTTTATTTTCTTTATACATTTAATTTCTGTTTTTTTTTTCTTCCTGACACTGCAAGAGTGCATTTCATTGGACTGTCGTTTCACTTCCTCCTACAGGCCTCTCCTGCAGCTGAGTTATTCAACAGTGAAAGTAAATCTTTCAGAGCTTTAGTATCCCGCTTGAATTGCTCAGAAAATCAAAGTCCGTTTTAGAATGAAAAACACACATGCCTTTAGTATAAAGAGAACTAATTCCTTATTCACCAGGGACATTTTTGACTCCCAATTGTCCAAAACCGAGAAGTATGAAGAGAAGACAATGTCGGCAAACCAACCTAATGAATTACAGGAACTGTAAAAGAAATCCAAAAGCAATTCTTGTTATATTCTTATTGTACCGTGGAGATAATTAAAGCTCTCATTGCAGTTTGTTCCTGCATCCATAAGTTGGAATTGTAGCATGTGTCACAGATGTAAAAAAAAGCTCACACAGCGGAGTTGTTGTTTCTTTCCATAACAGAGTTAAACCTGGACCATGTGACTCAGAAATAATGCAGCTGAAGAAAACATGAAGTGGAGACAACACAGATCTGATCTGATTGACTCAACACAGCTGGATAGTTGTTACTCATCTGTCTCGCTCTACTCTGAGTGTGTTTTTTTTTTATTTGTAAGGTGGCTTAAACATCTTTCAGAAAACTCTTCTGACCCAATACTCGCTACATGAACGTCATGTAAGTTCAAAGGTCAGGCTTAAGTTTGGCCGACTGTTGATGTCTGTTCTGTTGTTGTCCTGATTTTATGTATTTGATTTGTCTGTCAAACCACTTTGTAAAAATTGGTTCATATCAATAAAGTTATCATTATTATTATTATTATTAAAATGACTTCTCTGGTGAGGTGCAGACCTGCAGTCAAAAATCACATCTTCAGTTTTGTATTTTTTTTATATTGAGGATGTAATGGCAATTTTCAATTTTTTCCTTTGCTCCAATTATTGCCATTAACACACAGGTAGGGGTGAAGTCTTACGCAGATGCAAACAATGAGATTTTCCAGCCGTCATTAAAGTTGAGTTGAAGGTTTATTGTAGTGACTTAATGGAGATATGAGAACATAACACCATTTTCTGTGAAACGTAGCCAGTAGAATGAATGAATTGGTCTGCTTGCTGGTCTGAAACATGAATGCCGGTCTGGTGAGAACTGTCTGTGCTCCCCCTACCTGTGCCTTCCCTTTCCTGTCACCTGTGCCTCTATATACACACCCCTGTGCATTCAGTGTCCCTAGTGGAAAATAATATGTCCAGATAAATCTAATTACACAACATGCCAACAATAAACACAAAATGGCTCCTACAGAGGAGGTCAGTGGTGTTTTAACATCTAAAAGATTCATTGTGATGATGCTTCACGCCTCTGCAGAAGTTTTTTTTTATCACAAAAAAACCTGCAACAAAAGATCTCTAAAATGATTGACACTAAATTATCCAAAAACACGATGAAGAAAACCGGGTAGTAGGTTACAGTTTAAGTCCTGCCCTGTAAATTTCAATCAAGTGAAATTATTTATGTGTCTAAATAAGCCCTTCAGTGTTATGGACCTTTTTTTGTAAAAAATTAAAAGGCAAACTTTACTGAAATGCTGTGAAATGGGTTTTTCTGATTTATAATTCACAGGTTTATATTTGATGTTTTTATAACATGTTTTGTATGTTTGATGTCCGTCTGAAAAGGAGCATCTTTAATCCATCCTGTCAGTCAGTGATCACTGTCTTCATTCCTTCTGGTTCTCAGTTCAGATTTCCCTCTCTTAAATCCAACAGATACGGGCACTCTTTTGTCCCCAGTGACATTTTCCTCCTTAATTCAAGTCAGGGGGAGCTAGTTCAGGCAATTGTGTTGGTCTATGCTGTTCAGTGATGCTGTTGTTGTGTTTCAGTTTGTGTCTGACCTCAGCTGTGTCTCTTTGGTCCGTTTCAGTTGGAAACATTATCAGCATTTCCTCTCTCATGTATGTAGGCTGATCTTATAGCGGTTTCGTTTTGGTTTGTATGTAACTGTGTTGGAACGAGCTGCTAAGAGCCTCAGTCAAGGATCACTGTTGTTTCTCGAAGGCTGCTATAGTCAATACCTCTTAAATTTACCGTGTTAGCTTCTTAAATGTATTTTTGTATTTTTTTTTCTGTCCTGTTATGCCGCAAAACCAATCACCCTTCAGAGACAAATCAAACTGAAGTTAAATTAAAGTTCTCAATAAGCCAGCACAAACTAAAATAGTTACATGTTTAATAAAATGGATTTAAATACAAAAAATAACCTTAAATGAAAATATATAAAGTACCAACACCTCAACATTGTACTTGAGTACTTATGTAAATGTACTGAGTTTCTTTTCACAAGTAAGCTTAATAAGAAAATGGAGAAGAAATAATCCAGAAGTGAGAACGGCTTTACGGCACAAGTTACCACACCAGCCTTCTTCTAAAAAAGAGGCCAGTAAGCCTGACTTGGTACTGAGGCTGAGAGATGGAGGAAGATAGTGACGGATTAAGCTAAAAAAAAAAGAAAGAAAAGAAAGACTGACCGAGCATGAAGTCAAACTAAAGTAAATACTGGACATGTTTTTAAAGGTTGAAAAAAAGAGTGACGAGTTGGTGAGAGCTTTTTTTGGTCTCAATCAGGTCTTGCACTTCCTGGTGAGTAGCTGTAGAGGGCGCCAATGTTTAATCTATGACCGAGATGACTGCTGTTCGGAGGCCTGCAGGTGACGCCATCATTTTGGATCTCACTGCACAGGATTTTTCTTCAGACTGTCAGAATGTGTAAGTTGAAGCAGCTATCATGCTGGTTTTGAGGAAATAAATATTGACTTCAGGCTCACCTGAGATGATGGTAACAGTAATCATCCAATCTGCTGTAAGTGTTGTACAAAGGTGACTTTGAACCTCATTATGAAGCTAAACCTCTCCGCATTAAAGCGCATAAACAATAAAAAAGTTAAAACACTGGTATCTGCTGTGCAACCATGCATGTCATACGTATCCAGGCTTCATTGTGAATGCAGCTGTCTTCATCAGGAGGGCATGCTATAAAAATAAAGACAGAGTCTCTCTGTGACCTTCAGGAATCTAAAGGTCTACACAAATAAAGACGGCAGATATATCGATGTGATAAAGATGCAACCTACCATACACAATACAGGATTATTTCATCATTCATTTAATGTTGCTGGAAGATTTTGGTGCCATGGGTTTAAGGCCTCTCTCAACACAAGCAACACTTTGATCTTACACCTATTCACAAAATGTGTACAAGTAAGTACAACTGCGGTCTGATTGGTGGACGACTAAGCTTCAAGGAAAAGAAGACAAGCCTGCACGCTTCATCTATTCCACAAAGACTTTAAAATTCACAAAGTTTCCACACTATCCTCTTTTTTTTTTCCAGGTGATCTTCTACTTTTCCCGGCTGCTGTTTTTTCGGTGTTGCCCTACACTACACCTTTGCGATGCATGTATCACCACCCTCCTTTTAATGACAACCTAAGCATCACCACTGGTGCAGTAAGGTCTAGGGTATTGCTCAAAGGGCGCCTCAGCAGTCATTAAAAAGGACAAGAGCTGCTCTTTCGCTTTCAAAATCATGCTAGTTTTAGAAAATGACCAACCCTGCCTTTAAGTCATAATTTGGATTCATTGAGTAATCGGTTGTTATTTTGATCTCGCAGCAGTCAGGAAGAGAAAGTAACATTCCCTTAGTGATCTGTCTGCACCCCCTCCCCTCTGTGCTCCCTCAAAAGCCACGCCCCC